CGCTAGCTCCTCTGCGGCTGCAATCAGGAGCGACGCAACGTAAACGCTTCTCAGGATATACCGCAGGCGAATGTGGCGTAACTTTGCTCCATAACGCTACGCCGGCCTTTCTTGCTACCATCCGGCGCTATAGGCAAGATTGAGCAGGGTTTCTGCTCTTCTTTAGGTGGTGGAGTAATGAGACTTCCTCAACAAGAGCAGACTTACTGGATTCTTGATTTTCACGAGGCGATTGCTAACTTTGGGTGTGGAGCAGGGACCGCCTAGCAATCAAGAAGCCAGAGGGTGGGAGAACTGGCCCGGTCTGTTCTTAGCTGGACATCCGGCCGAAGCCGCAAATATTGAACACCTCAGCTTGAGAGACCTCAAAGGAGTATACTCTCAGTGAAGGCGGACCATAGTGGGGACCCAACAATGGTTTGGTGCTCTAAATCTGATAACAAATTATTTTAAAGATGTATAGTACTCTTCCTCACGGCTACCCCATTCTTCATGCATCCTGGTTATGAATAGTCAAAGATTTTCCACTAGTCACCACCGGGTCATGACATGCAAATTACGCTTGAAAACTTTCTCTTCCGAGAAAGTATAGGTCACACTTATAAGCTTAGATTTGTGTTTCAGCTTTTGTCGAGTCACAGTACTGTATCAGTCGAGCAAATTACTCAATGAAGCATCCGATGAGTACGAATACTACTCCTGTGAAAATGAAGATGTCCCTGGAAGATCAAGAGCAGATTGTTATGCCGCCACCACCGGTTGAAGACTACAATCCGGAAGTAAGCACGCTGCCAGAAAACTTTCATTGAGCGATATCTAATTTTTAACATCCATATCTCAGATTTCCGTCTCTCCGCACGTGCAATGCCCGATGCTGCATCAGCAAGTGATGATCAAAAATCCTCCTGTGCCTCAGATGCCTCAGCTCACGGATACTACTATTTCGCCTGCGAGACCTGATAGAGACCTTATGAGATATGAAATTGCGAAAGAGAAACAGATTGTGGTTTGTGAACAGTACCTGCTAATGCAATGCATCACAAAGAATTCTAGCGGGTACCGGACTATTCTGATTATGCATGGAAACGTCTTGAACAAGAGAAACTGGCGCAATATGCTATTAGAGATTACGGTAACGGCTGGATGGTAGGTCAAAAATAGGCCAAAAATCAGTACGACCGTTTCAGAAAATGAACAAAGCTTGCCTGCTGCAGATGCTCCATTTGAAGTTGAGAATGTGGTGCGTTTAAACTCCTTTCTCGCTGTAGTTGCTATCGTAACTACGTGAAGTGTATAGAAGGCGCGCGTTTCAGCATGTTAGAAGGAAATTATATCCTACAAAACAGAGGTTTCCAGACTGTTTCAGACAGAAAGTTTTGCCATTATATCAGAAGGTGTAACGGGGGATGATTAGTTGGAACCCGAAAACAGGAAACTGAGTTCGAACTTTTTATCTGCTTTTTCTAATTAGTGACAATTGCTCAATACGCGCCATTCGACCGTCTCTTACTACGTGCGACAATGAGGTTGTGCCGCGGTCGCGGTGCGTGCGATAATGCGTTTTCTTAGTAGACA